GGTACTTTTAGCAGCTAGACAGAAAATGCTATTTGCCAAAACTACCCATGTTATAGCACTGTCATGCTATAAGTTAAAATAAATATGAAATTCTCCTAGATTCAGTAGCTGTTATATCTGCAAAGAATATATACTCTGAACAGTGCATGGCATTCTTGGTAATTGGAGCAAAATTTTAAGACTGCCAGGTATAAAACTGACTTGAACTTTAAAATGCTTGTAAGGACAAGAACTCTGCCAGCATCACACTGGGAAAGAGCTTGCTAGATTGAATGTCAGTGTGACTGGATCACGATTTGTGTGTCCTGCTACTTAACTGAAGATAAAAGTGGTTACCTGTGCATAACTCGGTTAACAAACGCACCTGAATGAATCAAAAGACCTGCTGAAATGTATGCTGGACCGCGGAACGTGAAGAACCACTGTACCAGAAACCAGTCTTGTCTGGTAGATATGTGCTAAAGTAAACCAGGAGGAAGTGTGTCTGATATCTTCCTGATGCGACTATTGTGGTCAGAAATGCAACGATGAAAATATTTCCTCCTAACTTGCGGTCACCCTTAATACGTTACCAGAGTTGATGTCACCCTTTCTCTAGGAAATAATACAGAAGTGGTTGTATCCTCATCCCAGAGGAAGTCCAAAAGGAACTTCGAATTGCTTCTAATGATTGCCTTCCATTGGCCTGAATGAATTAACAGCCCCCTCAGGGAATGGTGTTCAGTCTGTGCCAAAAAGATAGAGAACTTTAAGCTTGTAGTTGGAGAAAGCGTCTTGAATTAAAGAGAGGATGTCAGCAGATACCAAGATCTGCTGGAGGAGAAATGCATAGTCCATGATTATTCAGGGGCTGATTATCTAAGCTCTTTGTTTATCTTCCAGTTATTCTTTTTTGCATAATGGGCTAACATTTTATTAAGGTTCTACTCTATGTCAAGCTCTTTGCTGATACTCGATGTGTATTTAACTCACTGGGATAGGTACTGTTGATATTCTATTTTACAAATAAATTATTGAGACTAAGAAATGCTAGGAAACTTGCCCAAATTTACCCAGCTAGCAAGTTGCAGAGCTGAGATTTAGAATTAGGCAGTATGACTCTAACTCACGTATTCTTAACCGTTAAGCTATGCTATCACCTCTAACCTCAGGATTGGCCTGCGACACAAAAAAGGAGACAAAGCTTAAATCAATGAAGAGAAGAAAGAAACTGTCTCAACTGAACACTAGATTTGCATTTTCAATAAGGTACATTTTTCCTGCCCTCCATTAACAAAATTAAGGGAATTAGCTATGTTCAGATTTTATTTTTTTTGGAGAAATTTGGAAAACATATGGTTGTTAATTAAAGCAGTCTACTGCAAACCACATCACAATTGCTCCTTGTGAATAGAAATTGCCATTGCATTTATTAAAACTTGGATCAATCAGTACTCAATAGTTATTATCCCTTTTCCTGTAAATTTGACAATTAGAAAAAAAGTGCTAGAGATGAAGGCTTCTCACATAATCTTTATGCATGAGTAATTCCCGGAATAGACTCCAAGAAAGATAAAAGAGGATAATAGAATAGAAGGATATGAGAAACTTGAAAACCCGAGTATGTAAAAGCTAATGAGAGAGTGAAATACCAGAGCATTTTATTCATACTTTAAGCTTCTGGGGAAAAATAATCAGCGGGGGTCAACTTGTCCAAGGTTATCCAATTGTGTTCTTGGCTGAGCAATTTGGTATTTGAGATTTTATTGTGTTTATCAAAACCCTAATACTGTACTTAGAATATTCTCAATCAGCTTTCCTTCATTCTTTGGGATTGGGGGAGCAATTCTACATTGTAGGATAAGTTACTAATAGACATTTCTTTCTTATTATCAGATAGTCCTTTATGAGGAATTTAGTTTTGATTAAGCAGAGGGTATTAAACATTTTTCCACTAAGAACTATTATGGCTGACGCTAAAACTCTGTTGAATGACATACAAATCCTTTACTCATTTATTTTTTCACTTTAGTGTTAGAAAAGCTGCTGTTAGATAATACCCTGCTCAATCTTTGGTTTGCTGTCAAAAATATGTTTCTTCTGGCCAAAGATAGTAATAACTGTCATTTTACCAAAAGGTCATGATGCATTCCTGTTCTCTTTTTTGCTATGGGAACATAAACTGAAGAATTAAGATTGGGCCATTTGCCTGATGGAGTTAGAATCAGAGAAAGCATAATAATGCAATAAGGGTTTTGTAATGCCTTCAAAGTCTATAAGGAGGTGCCATAGTTACCCAGAAACTTCCAAGTGACTTAACATCTTAAATTCCAAGTCACCTAGACACTTTGACCTCAGACAATTTTTACAGTTGTTCTGTCTTATTTCTTGATATTTGAAATAATAATAGACACAATTTCTTTTACATAAATTGTCCTAGGAATACAATAACCTTCAATTATCATCCAAACTGGGATACTAGTTCTAAAGAAAGTTACGTCGTTAATAATTACGTGGCTGGCGTAAAACACAACTATCAAGGTAAGTGTTGTCACCCAATGTTGGAGCAATTTCCCTAGACATGAAGTAATTCATGACTATAGGAATCGGGAAGTCTTAAAATTCGAAATATTTTGAAAAGCAGTGTTGCTTCCTTCCCTAGAGGACTTTGAGAGAATGTTAAGTAGCTGTGGGATTTTATTTCAGGTGTTTTCTCTAGATGGCCAAGTTTCAAATTCTGAGCTTGCAAAGATAATTGTATTATTTAGTTCAGCTTATTAGAACATGTTGTTTCTAAATATCCCATTGTTTCTTTCTGGCACTTATTCTACTTCCTCAGTTTAAGACGCCACCATTTCTTTCCTGGATTACTGCCCCTCTGCAGGAATGGCTGGGCCTACAAAACAACAACTATCTGTAAGCAACATTACTAGTTGGTTACTTTTCTGGTAACTGCTACAAATCCCCTTTAGGTCTTCTTAATACCTCCAAGAAAACCACGAACAAACCTACTGCTGGGTCTTTACCTTTCCCTTCATTCTTGGGTTTTTAAAACCTACCTTCCATCTGAAGTGTTTTCTGACCACTTTACTGATCTAGTGAAACACTACTGGCTCCTTTTCTGAGCTCTTACAATATGTAATGTCTTTGATGTTCATTAGAAGCACCATTTATTATTGCATTATATTTGAGCTGTATTTTCATGCACGTATCTCTGAATATCTGAGACTATAAGCGCATTGAAGATAATGACCAAATCTCACATTATTTATTTTTCTCTCTCTGCTCCTTTCCCACAACTAACACAGAGTACAGCCCAAACTCTCCTTCCTCTTTGGAATAAATGCCCCTCTGCCCAGGTCAATGAGGAGTAGGCCACACGCATAGGTGACTTAGCTGATTGCTCAAGACTGATTTTCACCAAGATGGACCCTGAGCCAAGCTGGGCCAATTAGATTCTATTTTTTAGGATTAGGGACTCAGGGAGGATGATTTGTCTCTGTTGATTGCTTGTACTAAATCAGTGTGAAAAGAGAAAGGGGATGGTCATTTTTGGTCGTGTGGATGGAGAAGTTAATATGCGGTGAGAGCAAGAAGAATAAAATTGATATTCCAAAAGAAGCAGAAGTGAGGGACCAAGTGGAAAAATAACCTAATCTCCTGCTCTTTTGGCTGAAATAGCTTCCCAGCTACTCTCTTCCATGGGTCTCAATTTTATCACCTCCATAGCATTTGTCATTGTTTGAAATTATCTTTTTAACTAACTTGGTCATGTGTGTATTTTCCCTCTCTCCTTTTCTAGAATGTGTGCTTTGTGATGTCAAGGACTTCCGTGCTCAATGCTGTCTCTCCGGCACCTGGAAAAATGCGTGTACTGTAGCCACACTCAATATTTGTTGACTGAATGAATCCATGAAGGGGTATTTAAATTAATTTCTATTTCTTGGCAGTTAAAGGGATTGGAGCCACAGAACGTGTGATATCATCAGAAGAAAACTCAGAACATGGAGCATGACTCGGAACAGGGGAGCCATCGTGGGAGGTTCCTTGCCCGACGATCACACAGTGGATTGAGAAAGAAAAGAGGAGAAGTGACAGGAAAGAAGAGGCCCCAAAGGAGATGCTGGGAGGAACTCAGTGGATAAGCTCTCCATTTGGCAAGTTTGCCGTGTGCTGCCCTTCTGTGTAAACCCAGCCAGGGAAAGCACCCCCAAAAGCCAGCTGCCAGGGGAGCCTGAGAAAACAGAGGCTGGAGATAAGAGAAGACTTGGGGCCTTTTACAGCAAGTGCAAACTTTCACACCTGTCAGCAATAAATCAAGAGGTTTATGGGGCTGCAATATTTACACTCTAATTAAAAAATCATAAAGCAAGCACCCTTTCAGGTTGTGGAAAACAAAACTACAAAACTTCTACAGCAGCGGCGGTTAATCAGTGACTCTTAATGATCTGCTGCCCAGTACCAACATGGGGCATTTATTCAGCCGCAAACAGCAAACAAGACAGCAGGAGAAGGTGGGACTGGCACCAGAGATCAGCCTTCGCAGGTGGCCATGACTTGGTCAGAAACCTTTTAGTTTATGGCACAGTCTCCATTTGGGGCTTGGGAAAATATTTTCAACAAACCTAGTTAGCAGCTCAGCTTTGTTTCTCCCCTGTTAGCACGTGGCACTGAAAGCCATTTACCATAGCGTAGGTATGGAAGGGGGTTAGACACTTTGAGTGGGATTAGTGGCAGATATGGAATTCGAAGTAAGGAAGAGTCAGGGCCACCACGTGCACCTGAATTGTACCCCTGGGAACTGGGCAAAGCTAATGTTCACCTCAATCTCTTTGGTGTCTTCTGCCCTTCGGGTGGTTCCCCTCCCCACCCAGAGGCCAGGCCCTCCTGTTGCTGTTGGCTGCACAGAGTAGCCCAGGTTGGTCCTTCCACTCCTGCCTACCTTTGCGTTCTCCCTTCCTCTCACTGCTCCCTCACCTCATTCCAACTCCAGGCACCTTCTTTCAGCTCCTGGAAAGGGCAGAGCTCTCTCCAGTCAGGGCCTCCACTCAAGTGATTTCTTCCTCCTCATCACCTGGAGGGTCCCTTCTCATGGTTCAGGTCACCACCTGAGAGTGGCCTGTTCTAAATTGGAGAAGCCTCCCCTGTGTTTTAGTCTTAAAACACCCTATCATCATCCTCCGCAGCACTTTGCACAATCAGTAATTAGATACTCAGGCTTTTGTTTGCTTGTTTAACGGCTGTCTCCTTCGCCATGTCGTTAGCCCCATGAGGGCAAGGACCATCTCTGTTTTATTCACCACTGAATACATAGTACCTAGCACAGTGTCCGGCATATAGAACTTTAACTTATACTTTTTGAATGAATGAGTGATGGAATGAATAAATAGATGTCAATAAATTATGCTTTCCAATATGACTTTCCAACGTGACATCCAGGATGAAATATCCAGAAAGGATTGGTCCCTGTTTTCGTGCCCTGTCACTGCATGACATGGGTTACACAATACATCATTTGTTTCCTTCCCTCTCCAACCTCAAAGGGGATGCTAATGGTGGGAATTTCAACACCTGTGGGTAAGAGGACCAAGGCCACATTTTGACAGGTATTATTTACACCGCTTGGAAAATACTGCTGGGTCTGGGGGAGGAAGTCCTGGCCCTGCTTCCAGCAGAACTGATTTTGAATATTGCCTCTGATATGCATTAGAATCAGTGATTTTCCCTTTATGAGCTTCAACTTCCTCACAGATTCAGTAAGGATAAAATGGGCTACTGTGTGTGGAAGTCCTTTGTGAATGACCAAGAAGGCATGGTTATTTCATGATTTTCATTCCATTGATTGTAAGGCTGCGCTGCATTGGAGGGTGACGGTGGGTGCTCTGTCTCCAATCCGAGTCAGTAGGTTCATAGCCTTTCCCACCCTCTTTTGCCACCCAACTGGGATCTTCCCTAGCTGTGCCCTCCGTGGTGGTTCTTGCCTGTTTTCATGCACCTGCACCATGCTCTGCCTTCGGCTCTGACCATTTGATCACTTGTGGGAGGATGCTTCAGAGGCCTCTGGGAATATCACTGAAAGAGCTAACCCTGCCACCCTCGTCTGTTCTTGTTTCTTGGGCTGTATTAGTTTTATTAGCAAAATAACACAGGCCCAGTGAAATGTAATGGACTTCTACCTCCAAAGCTAATAAAAGCCCCGTTCATTTGCCAATTCAATTCAAATGCAACTGCAAAAAGAAACCAGCTTTTATCGCACATGCTCCCAGCTCAGATCCCGCTGCTGTTGTGCTGCTTTGGCACTTGTGAAAAAATAAATCCTGGGGAATCACTGGGTTGCAATAGGCTCCCGGTTAAACACAGGAAAGAAACAGCTGATGTCTGAATTTGCTAATTTCCGCTGATTCAGTTAGAGGCTGATGCAGGCAGCTAACGAGGGAAACATTCAGGTATGTGAATTAAGGTTTGGAAACAAAGTGTAGATTGTAATCAGTGCATCTTACATTAGGTTGGAATCATTGTTTAACGAGTGCTTCCCAAAGAAATTAGAAAAGAATCCCAAGCCTACACAAGCTTTCTGTATTCTTCCTTCTCGTTGACACAATATAACAAAAATACCCATCCCTTGCCTCTCTTTTAATCCTGGAATTTATAAGCAATGCTCAAGTGACCTTGTTCTCATGTGCAGTGGAAATAAAGCTGAAGTAGTTATCTTGTTTGTAAGGATGTGGAGCCCTGCGTAACAGAGAGGTGGTGTTATTGATCAAAGGTCACACAGTGAGTCACCGGTGCAATCACAAGGCAAATGGTCACATTCTCATCGCCTTGGCAGCAAATGTTTTGTTCTTCTAGGCTGGTCTATCTCCTTTAAACCCTCATCATATGCCCCTGCCTTCCGTTGCTGGTCTATTTCCAAGGAAAACACATACCACACGTGCACAACACCCATACCCACACCTGCCCTCCCATCCACACAGGCACACACCCCTTTACAGGTGAAAAATCATCCCAAAGAGTTCTAGCCCCCTGCCTATGCATCTCATCCACCCCCATCCATCCACCTATCCACCCTCCCTGGCAGTTGTAATCCAGTCCATCTAGGTTTGCCAGATTTAACAAACAAAATTGTAGGACACACAGTGAAATTTGAATTTCAGATAAACAACAAATCATTTTTAGTATAAACAAGTCTCATGCAATATTTAGGACATGGTTTTACTAAAACGTTATCCATTGTTTGTCTGAAATTCAAAGTTCACTGGATATCCTCTACTTTTATCTGGTAAACCTAATTCTATCACAAATATCTCTATCTTTTCTGTTTATGCTCTAATTCCATGATTCTTCCACCTACTTTTCTACCTTAACCCCTGACATTTCAGATTTCTGCTAAACATATTACGACCTGTTTTCCCAGTGTTTCTGAACCTGTCCAGAGCCGGAGATGACTGCAGAGATCTCCTCTGGAGCACTCAGTCTTGATTTCCAGCCTGACTCCACCATCTACTGGCCGTGCAACTTTGGGTAAGTGTCGCAATCTCTCTGCAGGTCAGTTTACTCCTCTGTAAAAATGAGAGTTCCAACAGTTCCTGTCTCATAGCCCTGTTGTAAGTATCAAAAGGCAAAATGCACAGTTCCTGGCACGTTGTATAAGCTCATTATGTGCCATTAAGTGTCAGCTAGAATTGTTGGGGTCTCTGCTCTTATGTTTACTGTCATTTTATAAGTAAAAACACAAAAGGCCAGAGCATCGAAGTGAATTGCTCATGTTTACTTAGTGACAGCCCTGCTAAGCCTTGAAGAGGTAGTGTCTGAGAGTCTGCTTCAAATATCAAATTCAATGTTTAAATTCAATATTTCAGATCTAGGTCATTTGAAGACCAATATGGTAGGCACCGTTAGTGACTTACCCAATTGCCATTCCCACTGCCTCATTTCTTCCTTCCTGGAAGACCCCAGGTTTAGGGGTGTCTCTGCCCAGTCCCTAAACATGTATGTTCAGGGAAATGATCTCCTTCCCATCCCAAGTAATGAATTGTTCGATGTGATTGGCTTTGGCATTGATATGTGACCCCTTCGTGGCCAATGGGACCAGAAGGGAAATACGCTAAGGTGCTTCTGGAAAAATTTTTCTTGCTAATAAAAGTATATACATGAGAAAAATGCTTTTCTCTTTCTGGATATAACATTGTCTAAACATAATTCTTGGAGTCAACTTGTGCAGAAAGGGAGAGCTCTCCAGTGCCCTGGAGATGGCAGAGTGGACGGAGGGAAAACACGTGTATCATTGGGGACTGTTGAGCTACTGAATTTCCTATACCGTCATGGCTCCAGATTTCCTATTTTGTGAAGTAATAACTCATTTTTCTATGTCAGCACTTTGGTCTACTACCTGTAACCAAGAGCATCATCAATGATACAAAACTCCAAACTCAGAGAAAAGTGATGGAGTGAAGGGTGTTCAGTGTCTGTTGGAGCTCTAAAACTACACATCTGCTCGGTATAATTTGGGGATACAATTTCAAACAAAAAGACTCTTTTTTACCTCAAACACTTGATTTCCTAAACTGTGAGCTATCAGCCTCCTGAGAAAGAGCTTCATCTGAACACATAACTTTAGCTCCCTAGGTAGCCATCCCTATGAGACTTTCTGGAAAGGGATTTCCCCCTAGGAAACTGCAAAGAAAACGGCTTCTTGCCCATGCAGGCTGCTTTTCATAGGCACATGGAAATCTAGGCTCTTTGGACAGCCCCGTGAACTTATCTCACTGAACTCCTTCTCCATTTAGATTCTCTCCCATGTGTTTATTTCACATCACACGTACATGCGTATATATGTGTTTTTTTTTATTACCAATGAACAAGTGTTTGTTGAATTTGTGCCCAGCTTTCTGTTAGGTCTTGTAGGCAACAAAAATACAGAGAGAAACTAACCTCAAAGTGACTATCTTCTCTTTGGGAAGATATTCTACTACTATTACTACTGATAATAATATAAGTCCATCAATTTAGAGTTTGAAAATGTTTTCAGGGACCAGCCAGGTGGCACCGTGGTTAAGATCGCATGTTCTGCTTCTCGGCAGCCCGGGGTTCGCCGGTTCAGATCCTGGGTGCAGACATGGCACTGCTTGGCAAGAAGCCATGCTGTGGCAGGTGTCCCACATATAAAGTAGAGGAAGATGGTCATGGATGTTAGCTCAGGGCCAGTCTTCCTCAGCAAAAAGAGGAGGATTGGCAGTAGTTAGCTCAGGGCTAATCTTCCTCAAAAAAAAAAAAAAGTTTTCAAATACAGTATTTGTACCTGGAAGTACTTAAGAAGGGTTTAAATTTGACAGCATAACATAATACATGGAATAACAACATAAAAACAATGTATCTTGAGCTAAGATCTAAGGCATATACCAGTAATTATCAAATTTTACAGTGCATTAGAGTCACTTAGGAGAATCTGCTAAAAATTCAGATTCCTGGGTTCCATCCTTCACTAGGAATTTGATTCAGTAGGTCTGGAGTGGGGAAAAGAAATTTGTTTGTTTTTTAAAATGCGTGCGTATAATTCTGATGCAGATGGTCCACAGACCATGTACTAACGAAGACTTAAGCCATAATAATTGCGAATATTAGCCAGGAAGTGGTAAGTCCAGTGTTAGCTTAAGTGGTGGTTCTTAAAGGTGGTCCCTGAATCAGGAGTAGGGCATCCACTGGGAACTTACTAGAAATGTTCAAATTGTTGGATTTGCCCCAGACCTAAATCAGAAACTCTGGGTCTGAAGTCTAGCAATTTGTCTTTTAACAAGCCCTCTGGGTGGTTCTGATCCACATTAAAAGATTAAGAACCACTGACTTAGGGGGCTGGCCCTGTGGCCACATGGTTAATGTCACACACACTGGTTTCACCAGTTCGGACCCTGGGCGTGGACATGGCACTGTATCCAGGAAGTCTCCCTGGAGGAAGAAGAACTTGAGATATGCTTGGTAAAATTTGGATAGGATAAAAGAAGTGAGTCTGTCCTTCTCTGTCAGCTGTAACCTGAGCAAAGGCAGGGGAGGGGCATGAACACCGTGTATAAGGCTTTACGAGGAGCCTGGTGTGGCACAAGAGAATTCAAACTGAGGACTGCCTCATTGTGGTCACCTCCTGACTCTGGAATGGTATCATTTGCCTGTGTTTTAGGAGCCTTTTCTTGCAAGCAGGTGGCTTTTTGGCCACACCTTCAAATTTGGCCCAGACCAGTCACTCTGCCAAACCAGATATTGTGGGAGCTTCTTTGGAAGGCCTACGAGCCCCCTGGACAGCGCTTGTTCTGCCTCAACCTTCTCTAGCTAGAGATGATCAAATTGGGCACAAGGGCGGCAAGGGTAGCTTGGTAAAATCATCTTGTTTCTCCCTTTTGTGCTTCTTCCAGGAAGACGTTTGGAGTCAGACTCCAAAAGGGTTTGCACCATCAGGCAGATTGTCGATCTGTGCGGTTGAATTGCTGTTATTATTTCTACCACTACTCTCAAGAACCTCAGGGTTTCTCTGGTTGGACTCATTTCAACTACCGTCTTCTGTGGTGTTCCCTTTGGTCACTCCATCAAACAATTCTGGACTTTATGGGTATTGGGCAATGTCTCCTGTTGAGCTCCTTTTTAGAATTAGGGACCTTAGAAATGGGTCTTTGCCAGGGAGGAGAAATGGTACACTTCACAGGTTTGGTAGCAAGAGTTGGAGTACTCTTAATGAGGTCTTCAGAGCCTTAGTCTTGGCTGGGTTTTTCGGCCCTGTTGAGAGAAGTTGGGCCTTTCGGTGGGACCAGCTACCAGGACTGCTCTCGAACACGCGTTTCTCAGCAATAACACTCATGGAAGCTGAAGAGACCTGTTGCTTAAATTCAGGGTTTCTTGAGGCCTGAGAAGGGCATCTGGGAGGCAGCTGCTCTTCAGAACTCTTTTCCTCTGCCAGAGGGCTCTCCAATACTGAGGAGCTATCTTGCTGGTGTTTAGCTTTCCTCAAGGCCTGGGAAAGGTGTCTGGGAGACAACTGCACCTAGGAACTGCTCCACTTCTCAGGAGCACTCTCGGAACCTGAGGACATTTCTTGCTTGCCTTCAGGCCTCCGCCAGAGCTGGAAGGGCACCTTCGAGGCAGCAGCTTCTGAGAAATCACCTCTGCAATATCAGCGCCCTCTGAGCCCAGACTGTAGGCTTCAACAAAGATTTGGAAGGATGATTTGGAGACAGAACCCACATAAATCTACCTCTCAGGATCAGAGTTTTCTGAGTCTGAGATTTACTGTACTATAAACCTCATGAAAGATTGGGAAGGACCTATGGATGGCAATGTCTCCGTAAAAATGCACCCGACAAGAGCAGGACTCTCTGGACCTCAACAGATTTACTGGACTTTGTTTCTCGCCAAGGATGAAGCAGGACCTCTGGGAGGCAGCAGCACCATGGAAATGCACCTCATAATAACAGTGCTCTCTTCAGACGTCTCTGAAGGTATTCAGAGACTGGTTGCCAGACTTGAGGCCCCACCAACGGCTGGGAAGGGCATCTGGGAGGGAGAAGCTCCACACAAATGCCTCCCTTAATAGCAGTGCCCCCAATCTGAGGAGATTGGCAGGACGTTAGGCTTTGTCAAGGACTGGAGACAGTATTTGGGGGTCATTGGCTCCACAGAAATGCCCCTCCTGGTAGCAATGCCCACTGAACCTGACAACACTCGTCATTCAACACTAGACGTCACCGTGGGCTGAGAATGAAGTCTGGGAGAGAGCAGATCCCTGGAAATACTCCATGCACAGCAGCACTCTCTGAGCCTGAGGAGACTTGCTGCTCACCATCGGTCTCATCCGGGCCTGATGCCACCCTGCGAGGGAGGCAGTCTTCTTTGTAAGCACTGCTCTTTCAGCAGCATCCCAGCTTCACTCTGTGTCACACTCTTGGACGCTTACAGTTCAGTCAAGGATATAAAAGAGGCTGAGGAGTCTATGTTTGTCCAGCCATGAAATAGGCCAGTTAAGCTGAGGTCTAGAGAGAGAGGCACTCTCTCTTCCCTAAGAGGCACCCAGAGGACAGAATGGATAGGTTATAGCTGCTGCCACAGCTGCTGCCTCCTTCATCGCTTGTTTCTAAGATCACCTCCAGGACGGAATGCAGCCTTGGAATTCTGCTCCATATCCCCAGCACCACCTATGTTAGGACTGTCGCAGACTGAGGAACATTTTACTCCTTAGAGCAACATCCTGACATTAGTGTATGCACAACGAGTAATGAATTCAGAGTGCAAATTATTTATGTTTGTTAACAAATTATATATATTTTTTACAGTCAATTTATTTACCTATAGGTAGACTGTGTGATGTCTTATGAAAGCAAACCTATAATAATAACAGATGACTTGCTATGATACTATGATACTGGGACTCTTTTAAGAGCTTCTACATGAGTTATTGTTTTGAATTCTCAAAATAACCCTAGGGCAGACTTTTTCAGCCTTAGCGCTCTGCACATTTTGAGCCTGATCATGATTTGTTGTGG